TGTGATGGTGGTGATGATGCTGCTTTCTTGGGGTAACAACCCTACTGTCCCCGCGTTTGGACGGTGGGAGGGGGTTGTGATGAGCTTCTCCTCAGAGTATGCGGTTGTCAAAGGAAGTATCCAAACTTGTAGAAAAGTTTTATGAGTTATTTGAGCCCAGTTTTGAGGACAAAGCTGGAAGCAGAATCCCAATGGACTGAGAAAAGGGCTCTGCAGGTTGGCAATTTTGCAGCTTATTTTACACGTTAGACTCAAAGGAGATGTAAGGAAGGTGCATGAAATCCACTGGTGGTAGATTCAGGAGGCCGGAGGAAGGGGAGGCGTGTCTCTAGGAAGTAAAATGGAGATCCATTTACATTGGTAGGTCCAGGACAGTTAATAATTAGCGCTTACAGCTCATAGAGATGGTCTGGGGGTGGACAGGACAACCAATGAAGGCTTCTCTGGTCTCCTGCACTGGTACCTGTGATTGTGCCAGAGAGGGCGTCTGGAAAAGAAAATTACATTGACATTGCAAAGGTATATTATCCTATATGCATAAGAACAATGGACAAGGCTCAGTTAAGGTCAAGACTGACCTTTGCTAAGGAAGGTATAGGCCTGGGATGCGACTACCCACTATGACCTGTCCAGTTAGGAATTTATGATCCAGTCATCCTGTGTGGATACTTTTAGTCACTGAGCTTGTCAGGCCTGCCATGTAGCCCCCCGACAGCTTGCCAGGTTTATTACAGAGCCCCTCTTTTGTTCACAGGCTCGTCCTTGGTGGTGACTAGCTTCAGCTGGAAGACACCAAGACTTAGGGACTAGTTGGCTGTGAGTGACCTGGTGTAAGTTAATTTAGCCCCTCCAAGCTTCAGTTTGCCTATTTGAAACCAGGAGGAAATAACATAGACCAAGTTGTGAGAATTCTAATGCTTACAGAACACTTCCCCTGGTGCTGTACAAATGTGAACAAGACACGTGGTCTTCACATGAGATGAGGGCATCGTTTCCTGGAGTAATAATAAATAAACATGATAAATAAAAATAATAAACGTACAATAAGTAAAAGAAAAAAACAATAAATAAAATATTGTGACAAGACAAATGATGTACAAAAGCACAGTCTCAGTGTGGAGACTAATGAAGTGAGCTGTTTTAGAAAGGCAGCTTGGAGATCACATGTAAGCTGAGAAGAGTTGAAATGAAATATATGTGGCTGAAAATTTCTGAACAAACTCAGAGATCAGTAGGCATGGAAGCAGATCATTCAAGACCTAAAAGGCCATGGAAGAGCTTTAGGGTTTTACTCTGAGTGCAGTGAAAAGAATGAAGTGGTGCATGATACCAAATGGTGTGTATAAACCACTTAACACAGTGCCTGACACATCGTAAATACTTAATAAATATTAACTATGAGCAGTAGTCCCTATTTTATTTCATTACTTCCTCCTCTCTTGCTCTGGTATCAAGAAGCGTCCGTTTTTACTGAGATTTTGATGAAAATCTTAGTTGTGCAGGTTCCTGAATTACAATTGTTGTTGAATTCAATCTTGCAGAGTCTCTCGTGAAAGTTAGGGTGCCGTTTAGGAAAGAATGAGATCATGAATTTAGAATGAAGACACGTGGTTGGATCCAGATGAGACTGATAATCTTGAACCCCCAAGTCACTCTTTGCCAGTAGTAGTTTGTCCTTGGATATCTGAGGAAAGTAGCCTCCTTGTGCTTGAAAATTTTGTGATTTCCTGTCTGGGGTAGATGCCTTGAAGGGGGATGCTCATGTTCCTCAAGACCTATCAAAACCACCTTCTGTGGTTACTAGGTAAATAGCTAGGGTAAAATCTCAGTATGCTCCAGGGAGCAGGTACACACTAAGTGACCTTGAAGGAAATGGCTTACACATCAAAATAATTGAAAGACTCTGCTAATTTGTAATCAGTACAGACCTTGGAGGTCTCTTGGCTTCCTGGAAAGTTCCTTACAACCAGTCGACTAAAGAAGAAAATACTTGAGACGGGTGTACAAATAGATCTGCATAATATTCTGGTGTCACCTGAAAGTGGACAGCTGTAGCACTAGAGTGCGACATAGGGCTGAGTCTGAAGAACAGTGAAGGAAAATCTGTTGGCTGGAACTCCAAGTGGCATTTTGGTTGTTCATTTTGTCTGGAGTGAGAGGTGGCCAAAAATAAACCACATTATTCATGGCCAGTGTCTAACAGGCTAGATGTAACAGATTTGGAAGATTAATGACAAGTCTGGAGAAGAGATAGGTGGATGGATGTCTCAAAAGGGCACAGGATGTAGAAGCTACTTTTGTCCCATGTGAATGTTTGCCAATAGGTATCTCCTGGAGAGGAGGCTCTTGATAATCAAGTAGACAAAATGCTGTGCTCTTTGGATATCCCCAACCACACCAGGGTTTCTCAATGGGCCCATGAACAAAATAGCTGTAGTAGCTATATGTGGACTCAACAGCATGGCCTTTTATCAATGGTACAGCTTAATTTCTAGTCTACTAACAGCAGAGACCAACATTTAGTTCCTGCTATGCCACCATTCTCTGGGGAAGCAACCTAATGGAAGGTTGATTGCTTTGGACCTCTATTACTATGGAAGGGGCAGAGATTCATCCTTAGTAGAAAAAACCCAAATATTCTGCATATATATTTGCCTTCTCTATCCCTAATACTTATGACCAAAATAGTCATGAACTCACAAAATAGCTTA